CCACCATCCACCAGGCTCTGGTTTACTCCTTTAATCTCAGCACTGAGGAGGAGGCAGAGGCAGGCAGGTCTGTGAGTTCAAGGCCAGCCTGATCTAAGCTACTACTTTGTTAGGGACGTTTTGGTGACCTGAGCTCAGGGCTGGCTCTGCTCCATCGAGCTGTCTCCTGGGCTCCTTTCAAATCGCAGTTCCTGAGAAATGCATCCTGCTCACCCGGGGCTCGGGAGTGCACTTTGGCCCGTCTGTTCAGGTTGTAAACTGGGCTTAGAAGCAGCTGGTCCTTTGGTTTTCTACCTGCTGAGTGTGCAGATTGGTTGTGTTGTTGATGATTTTATGGATTACTGCGTGTGTGAGAGGCACAAGTGTGCCCTGGCGACTGTGTGGAGGTCAGAGGACAACTTTGGGGGTCATTTCCCTCCTCCCACCTCGCTGAGGCAGGGTTTGTCTTCTTTCTGCCACTCAGCCGAGCACTCCAAGCTTGAGTCTGTTCTCTCGTTTCTGCCTCCCCTCTTACCACACACATGTGCCTCCACATCCTGCGTTTCACATAGTCGGGTTTGCAGCATGCTTTTACACCTTGGGTGTCTCACTGGCCCTCACTCAGACTGTTCTTGGGGTCGCCTTTCACTCCAAGTTCACAGTCATGGTCAGGTTCCAGCAGTCAGCCCAGACAGCCGCAGGCCACTTCAGTCTCACACAAGCCCACAGGGAAATTAATAGTCTCTCTTCCTCATCCTTAGGTTGAGTTGGACCTTCACAAGAAGCATGTGATAAATTCTTGGGCAACACAGAAAGAAGAAAAAAAACAGGTGTGTGATGTGTGCCCCTTCCATGCTGTGCTGTGGCTTCCTCCCCACCTCTCACTGGGTCTTGTTTCTATGCTTTTGTCTAGATGCTTGCTGCGTATGCAGCCTGAATATTTGCTTTGTGTGTGCCTACATGCATATTCATGGATGTGTCTGTGTGTACAGGTGTGTACATGCCTGTGTGGGTGTGTATGCAGGTGTGTGCATGTATGGGGGTGTGTGTAGGTGTGTGCAGGCACACATGTGGGTGTGTGTGCAGGTATGTGCATGTGATAGTCAGTGGAGAACCTCAGGTGATGCTCCTGAGGAGCCAGCCACCTTTTTTGAGATAAGGTCTCTTTCCCGGTGGACTACCGAGGACCTACAGGGACTCACCAGTTTCCCCTTCCCTGGTACTGAGACTATAAGCATGTGCCACTTTGACCAACTTTTCTTTTTTTTGTTCATTTGTTTTTTCCGAGACAAGGTTTCTCTGTAGTTTTGAAGCCTGTCCAGGAACTAGCTCCTGTAGACCAGGCTGGCCTCAAACTCACAGAGATCCGCCTGCCTCTGCCTCCCAAGTGCTGGGATTAAAGGTGTGCACCGCCACCACCTGGCTTTGACTAGTTTTTTTAAATTAAAATCTTTTAAAAAGTTATTCTTCAGTGTATGGGCATTTTGCCTGCTGTGTCTGGTGCCTGTGGAGGCCAGATTAGGGTGTTGGACCCTCTGGAACTGGAGTTACAGACTGCTGTGAGCTTCATGTGGGTTCTGGGAATTGAACCCAGGTCCTCAGTGCTCGTAATGCTGGGGCCATCTCTCCAGCGCCAGGATTCTAATTCTTACTTACTTTTTCTTTTTCTGCAATGTGTTTGAGTGTGTACCACATGTATAATGGTGTCTGAGAGGCCAGACAAGGACATCAGATCACCAGGAGCTGGAGCCCCTGGTGACTGCAGGAGCCTGATGTGGGTGCTGGGAACTGAACTCTGCTCAGCCCTTAACTGCTGAGCCATCTCTCTGGCCACAGCATCATAAACCCACATCGCAGGCAAGCAACCCTAGCTTACTGCAGCTCCTCTGGGGGTGAGTCCACAGCATGTGTGGATCAGTGGGGTTCCAGGCTGAGCTTACCTGGGTCTTACAGCAGCTGGATGGCAGCTGGGAGCTGAGTCTCTGCTGGCTGCATGTTGATAGTGTTGCCCTCTTGTAGCAAGAAGCCGCCGAGGAGCAGGAGATCAAGCGGTTTGAAAATGAGTATGAAGCAGCCCGCAGAGAAGCCATGGAACGGATGAAAGCCGAGGAAGAGAGGAGGCAGCTGGAGGGGAAGCTTCAAGCCGAAGCGTTGCGTCAGCAGATGGAGGAGCTGAAGCAGAAGGAGATGGAGGTGAGGGGGTCGTCCTGGCCTGAGTGGGAAACGGGCATATTTAAAGCCGTTCTGAGATGGCAGCAGTGGTGGGGTTCTGTGCACGGATCCCCACTCTAGAGCTGGATGCTCTCCTCTCGTGTGTGTGTTCCTTCTCGGCTCTGCTGTGACCCTCCATGGCACACTCAGACTTTGGGACATTGACAGCCTAGTGGCTCACCTGACCACTGGATCGGGGTTTTCCAGTGGAGCATGCTCTAGTACACTATTCTCCTGGTAGCAGGTCTGGGTCTCAGGATGGGAGCTATCAGGGATTCTGGTCCAGGAGGCTGGCTTTGACAACACTGGTCTCCTGAGTCTGCTGTTCAGATGGAGGAGGCCTCACCTCTTTGGTCTCTGTTTCCCTTTTCCTTAGCCCCAGTGTTTTAGTAACTAGAGACTGTCCATCACTAATTCTAGATCCTAGAGACAGGGCCTGAGCAAGGCTGCTGTGTGCGCTGAGGAAACAGAAATTGGAGTAAGCGTAGACCAGCACTCGGAGTCTCTTGGACTGGGCCAGGCTTGTAGGATAGTTTAGTTAAGGTGGGACTCGGAATTCCATGGAGGGTCCATGAGGAGGCCAGGCTGTGCTCTTGTAGAGCTTGCCAGAGATGGCGATGACACTTGATGACCCATCTTCCTTGGGCTTACTATTGTAACCACAGGCATCCAAGCTGAAGAAGGAGCAAGAGAACCTGCTGAAGCAGCACTGGGAGCTGGAGAGACTGGAGGAAGACAGACGGCAGATGGCGGCTCTCCGGTGCAAGGCTGAGCTGGGGTGTGTGGGAAGCCTGGGCTCTTCCCGGAGGGTGGGTCTCCGCAGAACCAGAGGGAGTGTGGCTGGTGGAGCAGTTGTCGATTGGTCATGCCGGACTGAAGCTGCTCGATTCCCACCTTAGGCGCTTCTTGAGACATCAGTACAATGCCCAGCTCCATAGGCGGACCCAGCAGATCCAGGAGGAACTGGTGAGTGAACCGACGTCCTTTGGAAGCAGAGTTTTCACTGCTCAGGACCTGAGCGCATCCTCAGGAGAATTAAAGCACAGATGGGCCATCTCACTGGCCTGGTCCTCAGGTGTTGATGGGAGAAACGCTGGAGATGATGCAGATGTTAGTTTGCTTAACTAGCAGTCATTTCGCAGTGTGGACACATGGAACAAAGTGCCTGATTCTGGTTCAGTGAGGCGCCGAGCGTGGTTCTTGCCCATCTCCAGAGCTGGCTGCTTTGGTTCACATTCTCCTGTCTGTTCACACCCATAGAGAGGCGGTTCCTCTGGTGCTCAAGTCCCAGTGTCCTTTGAGCTGTGTTGCTCAGCACATTTGTTTTTAGCGAACACTGGTTAGGCTTCTTATTGGCACTGATCCTGTCATGTACTTTAATGAGCTTGTGGGTGAGCACACTCGGACCTCCTGGCTGTCTGCCTCCTTCGGTCAGACCATAGATCTGGTGCCACTATTCTGCCCCACCCCTAAGTTCCCCTCACCTTTTTATTGTAGTGTTGAGTTATGTAGACATAGATAATAGGTCACTTCCTGCCAGTGGGCATTTTGTTTCTGGTTTTCCCATTTCCAGTAGAGCTGCCGTTAGCAGTTGTGCATGTATTTGTGTCCATACACAGCTGTACCCCCTTCTAAGAACTGAGGCCAAAAGGCATTTTAAAATGTGTTCTGCACGTCCAGGGGCATGCGCCTCTGGTGGCACAGGTGGTAGGCGTCACCTTAGTGGGAAGCTTCTGGGCCAGTGCAGTGCCTGAAGCAGACCTTGTGGTTACCCAGAAGCAATCCAGCCCCTTCCCTTCTGTCCTGAGAATGCATCAAGCCCTGCATGGCTACATCTGTGGGACATGCAGAAGGGGCTGAGCAGCGAGGTGGGCTCCTCTGTCTGAGCACAGAGCAGAACTCACTTGGCCCCACCATCCATGGCCACACCCCTTCCTCCAGGAGGCGGATGGGCGGATCCTGCAGGCACTCCTGGAGAAGGAAGATGAGCTGCAGCGTGTCCAACTGGCGCGGCGGGAGCAGGCCCTGGCCGATGCAGCCTGGATGAAGCAGGTCATCGAGGAGCAGCTGCAGCTGGAGAAAGCTCGGGAGGCAGAGCTGCAGCTACTGCTGAGGTGAGGGGGCATCTGCTGGCCTCTCCTCTGCCTCTGTGAGATGCCCTCAGGTCACTGGGTGGGCCACCTTTGTTCTCACATCTCCCCTTGTAGCTCGGCATCCCCAGGGAACACGTTTTTTCTTGTAGCTGATGTTATTCAGGGTGGAAGCCACTCGGGCTCAGAGTAGTGAGCTGCTCATCTAAAGTCTCAAAACCACGTGAGGAGATTGCTTCCATCATAGAAATGTTTATGCTTCTAAGGTCTGTAACATCAGCCTGGATTCTAATGTGCTCCTGAAGACAGCCCCACCATGTTGCCTTGGCTGCTCTCCATGGGGCCCAGGACTAGGACTCTGGCCTATGTGCCCAGCTTTGGGATCTAAAAGTCTACCTCACAGATGGAAATAGCCAAATAACAGGCGCTATGCATGGATATCTGTTGCAGGGGTTTCTGTCCTGCCTGGTTCCCGCAATCGTTAAGTCCCAAAGAAATCACACAGAGGTCTACATTAGTTATAAACTGATTGGCCCATTAGCTCAGGCTTCTTATTAACTCTTATAACTTATATTAGCCCATTATTCTTGTCTATGTTAGCCACGTGGCTCGGTACCTTATTCAGTAAGGCAGTCACATCCTGCTTCTTCTGTGGCTGGGTTGGGACTTCAGAGGAATGGGCTTTCTTCTTCCCAGAATTCTTCTGTTCTCATTGACCTGCCTCTACTTCTTGTCTGGTTGTCCCGCCTATACTTACTGCCTGGATACTGACCAATCAGTGTTTATTTAAAATATAATTGACTGAATACAGACCATTGTCCCACATCAGATATCCAGATAGTGTTCTTGGCCCTGACATTCAGCCAAGTGGTGGTTATACAGCCCTTGGAGACCCAAGGAGGTTGCTAGCTGCTGCCAGGTGAGCCAGCAGCCATCCTCGGAGGGTGGTGTTTGGGCGTGGGCACAGGTAGTGCCTTCCCCCTCCCGTCTCTGATCCTATGTTTATTTACCTCAGTGCTAAATGACTGTGGTACTTTTTTTTTTTTAATTTAAGGAGATGAAATATTAAGTGATGACCTAAACGACCACAGAAGTGCTGTCCTTGGCGTGGGTGTGTTTGCCTGGAGCTCAGCCTCTGTGTGTGCTGTCAGCCATCCCTGCCTTTGGTGGTGGTGTAGAACTTCTGTTGTCCCCTTGTGTCTGTCTAGGGAGGAGGCCAAGGAGATGTGGGAAAAGAGAGAAGCAGAGTGGGCTCGCGAGCAAAGTGCACGGGACAGACTGATGAATGAGGTAATTCCAGCTGAGGGACTTGGAAGGCTATTGGTCCCAGGGGTGGGGATGTGTGCAACCCTGCTGACTAAATCTGCTCTGGTTATCTTAAGTAGCATTTAAGTCTCTCTGTAGGTAATGCTCAGACATAGAGCAAGAACAAGTGGGCCGTCCTTAGAGCCCTCTTCTGTCTCCTGTGACTCGCGCATGGCTTCCTAACTCCATGGGTGGTTCCCACAGTGCTGTTTGAGTCCATGCCTTTTCACCAGCACACCTCTCGAAATGCATCAGCCAACACTGAGCGGCTGCATCTGCAGCCCTTCCTCCCTCCTTGGGTGGATATTCTCTGAGGCACTTGCAGGGTACCTTCATGCAGGAATACGTGTTCCCTGGGGCCAGCAACCAGCAGTGTGCAAGGCTTGCAGGGAACCTGGCTGGGAGCCTTTGTCAGTCCTGCACTGATGCTGTGCTGAAGTGGGCTGGAACGCTGAGTTCCATGTGCTCAGTGTGTTGCATGTACCCTGTGGCTCCCAATCTTCCTCACTGCAGTTTTCCCTGGTTGTGGCCACAGTATGTGCCCTGCTCGGACAGTGCAGGTGTCAGGTGTGTCTTGTGGCTTCTTGATTCCTGGGCCAGGGCTGCTACATCTCACTGCTCTGGGACCAGGCCCAGGTTCCAAACAGTAGCAGGTGTTTGCTACTTGGAGTCACAGAGGATGGCGTGACTGCATCCCGTCAGCTGGGCTTGCCACTGGCAGCCTGAGGCTCCTGTGTACCTGTGGAGAGGGCCCCCAGTGTTCCCCCTTCACACTGCTGTGCCCTTCAGGTTGCTGTCTTGGCTAGGGTTTCTATTGCTATGATAAAATACATGATTTAAACCAGTTTGGACAAGAAAGGGTTATTGAGGTTTAAACCTCTCAGGTCACAGTCCATCACGGAGGGCAGTCGGGGCAGGATCCGGGGCAGGAGCTGATGCAGAGGCCATGAAGGGTGCTGCTTACTGGCTTGCCCCTCCTGACTGGCTTAGCTTGCTGTTCTATACAATTTAGGACCATCTGCCCAGGGGTCGCACCACCCACAGTGATGTTTCATATTCTTAAACTAGGAAAGTGCCCCGCTGACTGGCCTGTAGGCCAACCTTGTGGTGGCATTTTCTTGACTGACACGCCTCATCCCAGGTGACTCTAGCTTTTGGAGAGTTGGAAACAAACAAAAGTAACCAGGATAGTTAGAATGTCTGGGAAAGAGCAGTGACCCACACTGGGCCTTGGCTCAGGTCTGCTGCCTGTGTGTGAAGATGAGGCTGGATTGGTACAGATGAGGCTGCAGCCAGTGTGAAGCTTGGACTGGTGTCTTCACCTGAAATGCAAACCTTCGTTTCCCCTTGGCCAGGTTCTGACAGGGAGGCAGCAGCAGATACAAGAAAAGATCGAGCAGAACCGGCGGGCACAAGAAGAGACCCTAAAACACAGGGAAAAACTCATCCAGAGTCTGGAGGAGGCAAGGCAGGCAGCTCAGCGTGCAAAGGAGGAGAGGGAAGAGCTGAAGTCAGCCAGAAAGCAAGAGCTGGAAGCCCAGGTTGGTGCTGAGGGTGAGGGCAGTCTCCACAGGTCAGGACACAGAGGTGGGAGGAGAGCGGGGGAGGATAGCAGGCCCCACGAGGTTCTCAGGACACTGCAGGACAGCGCTCCGAGTTCCGTGACTCAGTTCTTTGCTCACTCACATCCAAATACCTTTTGGGTTCTATAGCAGCCCTGGCATTTTAAAAGAGTTATGTGTTTGAATATGGGTTTGTGTACTTGTGTGATTGCCCAAGGAGGCCAGTAGAAGGCACTGGAGCTCTTGAAGCTAAGTCACAGGCAGGTGAGAGCCACTCACCTGAGCTTGCTAGGAACTGAACTCGGCTCATCTGTAAGGACAGTTTGTTCTAACTGCTGAGCCATGTCTCAGTGGCACAGGCACTATTCTGGTTCCTTAGTCTCTGTGGGGACCATGCTGATGGTCACGGTTACTTTTTCCTACCTCATTGCTTTCCAAACACACGGCTGCATACGGAGTTTTTACAAGGTCCACAGCACCGTCTCCATGGCCTCAGGTTCTCATCCTGGCTGCTGGCACTTGCCATCTGCCTCCTTGCTCAGAGGCAGGGCTCGGCCCCGTGGGCCTCGTCTCTAGTGACTGTGTTCTTGGTGTCCAGGTTGCAGAACACCAGCTCCAGGCTTGGGAAGCAGCCCAGCAGGCGGAGGAGGAAGAGGAGGAGATCAGGAGGGCGGAACAGCTCTCCGATGCTCTGCTACAACAGGAGGCCAAGACCATGGCTGAGGAGGGCTACAGGCCCAAGGTAGGCACCCGCCAGGTGATCTGGCCACCGCGGCCCCATCCTGGGCTCTCCTGTCCCCTCCCTTGTGTCTGTCTTCCCACTGGTTATAGACTCAGTACAAAGGCCATTCCTTGACTGGGCCTCAAATGGTCCGAGTGGTTTGGCTCTGGTTCCTGCTGCTTCCTCCTTTGCAAAGACAGAGGGCCTGGTCGCTGGTCTTGTACCTGTCCACCCTGTTGGACAAAGTATGATCTAGAAGAATGATGGCCATAGCTGGTGAGAGGTGACAACAGGACCAGGTGCCGGTTGCCCAGTGAAGCCAGGAGACTGAGACACTGACTTGACTTAGCTGCCTCCCCTTTCCCTCTACTTCCTCTTTCTATGCATTTTATGTGTTGTTCCTGAGTGACTTGTGTGAGCCCTGAGCAGGGCACCTGGGAGGCTGCCATGCCTGGATTAGGCTCTCTAGAGTGGGTGGAGGGACTCGGGCCACCTGGCCTCTGGCATTCTGAGGGGTGTGTGCTGCAGAGAAAGGGCTGACTGCTTCCCTGTCAGAGTGAGTGCTGGGGTGGAGTAAGACTCTTCCGTTTGCTGTAGAACTTCAGAGTTCCACCAGCAGAGGGCTCCAAGCACAGGGAGGAGCATTTCCAGAGTGCCAGGGTCAGGGCTTCACAGGGCACACAGAGTGCCTCATCTGTGGCTCAGAGTCAGGGCTTTCTCAGCCGGAAGTTAAAGCTCAGTCACGTGCTCCTAACAGAGCAAGAGGTCAGTTCCCAGAGTTGCAGACTGTTGATCTGATAAATTGTATACTTTCTTTTTTTTTCCAGCCTTATGGACACCCCAAAATTGCCTGGGACTGACGCTAAGCACACGGAAGCATGCCAACTTGATAGAAAACTCCAGACATTTGTACCGTACTTGTTCTGGCCAGGGCTCAGGGTGCTGCTGGGTCGTTTGACCAGGCCTGTTCAGGCACATCATGGTCCAGCTAGATGTCAAGATGCCTTAGGTGTGCAGCACCCAGTGAGCACCTCCCCTGCTTTCTTCACCCAGACAGGTCTTACAGACAGAGCTACTAAGAACAAGTGGTATTCCAAGGATGGGATGTGTAGGTTCCCCTCGTTGCGCCTGCACATATCAGCCCTGGGGAGGACCAGGCAGAGAGAGGAGGGAGCCTGTTAGGCTTTAATAAGTTGTTCTGTTGAAGGTAGACTTGTAGGTCTGGGTGCAGTTATTTCAGGTTATTAGTTGCGGAGCTCTCAAGGATCATGTGTGTGTGTATTGTGTAAGAGCCTGGCAGCCTGGGTGTCAGGAAAAACCGGCGACAAAGAAGCTCCTTGTTCTGGAAGTGCTGTGAGAATTCCCATGGGCTGGTGTGTGGATGGCTTCCCTGGCAGCCTATGGTCCTCAGTCTAGCCCCAGCCCCGGTTCCACCAGAAAGAAACAAGTCCCACAGAGCATTAGAGCATGCCACCCGAAAAAGAGTCCTCAAGGTCACCTGGTGGGCGAGCCTGGTAAAGGCAGGGGCAATACTAGGTTCTCCAGAGTCTGGGGAAGGCCTGTATGTAGCCCTGTGGGAATTATGTGCCCAGAGGAGCGTGTGACCCTGGAGAACCACAGATCAGCCCATCCTCCTGTTGTTGGACCCATGTGCTCAGTTCCCAGCTCTCTTCTGCAGACAAGCTGTGATCTTTGCAACATCAGTGGTATCTTTATGACTTGTACTTTTCCATGCCCTTCCTCTGGGATTCAGTTTTCATTATTGTATTCCAGATTCCATACCTCAGTGAACTCTAGCTAATTACAGGGCCTTCTCTCTGGTTACAGAAACAGCCCAGGTCCGAGGGCTGCGTCGCTTTCCTCCCTCCCACTGTGCAACCCCATCCTGTCTCCTCATTTCTCACTGTGGTTCTCGGATGTGGCCCCTGCGCAACATTTTCATTAGGCACTTGTGAGTTCCCGCCTTTTCAAATGCTCACTAATTGTGAACCAAAGCACAGGCTGTCACTGCTGTAGGAGGGAACTTAAGAGGCCAATGCATACATCCACATCACGGTCTTCCCCTGGTCACATTTCATAGGTTACATTCACTTTTCTTGTGAAAGTGGTACCCTCGCCCTTTATTTCTTTGTTTTTGAGACACTGTTTTTCTGTGTCTGTCCTGGAACTTACTTTATATAGACCAGGCTGGCCTCGAACTCACAGAGATCTACCTGCCTCTGCTTCTGAAGTCATGGGATTACAGGCATGTGCCACTATGCCTGGCTTTTCCCTCATATTTCTATGGGAACCACAGAGTATCACTAATGGTTGTATACTGCTCCAGGCTAGACCCCAAGTGGCCAAACACTACACACGAGTGACTGAAGGTTTATCGGACAAACATTGTTTTTACTAGCATTAAAATGATGTCCCACTGGTTCTCTATGTTGTTGTATCATTGTTTGTGCACGCATGCGTGCGTGTATATATGTATACACATGTACTTTTGTGTGATGATGTGCAGTGGGGTTAGAGGAAACTTGTGTGCAGTCACCTCTCCTACCTTTATGAAGGTCCTGGGGATGAACTGGGGCCATCAGGCTTGTGTGACAAGTGCCTTTAACTGCTGAGCCGCCTCGCTGGCCTCTGGTTTTAAATGTTTTAAACATTTCCCCTACAAACGGAGTTGTGCTGCTTTTTCTGAATTCAGGGCTGTCTTGTTTTTGCAGACAGCTCATGCCTCTAACTGCCAGTGTGTTTGTAGGTGTGGACAGTCACACCGAGGGCAGCTGTGTCCTGTGAGAAGTGTGGTACTTAATCATTGTGCAGACGGACTTCTACAAGCCAACACTGCCCCTAGGACAGTCCTCCATGCCTGTTTCTGACATGTCATTGTGTAGCGCATGACCCTGTTTGACTTAAAACGGTGCAAGATTCCTTCAGTAGGTTCCTCTCCCATTCTGTAATAGAGATGGGTTGCAACCACCGTGGCCACAGAGTGGTGGATACTCTACAGCCTGTCCTCTGTGCTGCTCTCAGCCACAGCTCCCCAGGGAAGAACCCCGGCAGGACTCAGACAGTGGATTTAGCCACAGACATGGACAGCAGTGCATGAGACAGACCATGGTGCCACAGGAAGGCAACACAGCCATCCTCTTTGTTTTCTTTTGGTCTATCGAGACCAGGTTTCTGTGTAGCCTTGGCTGTCCTAGAACTCGGTAGACGAATCAGAGATCCACCAGCCTCTGCCTCACCTGCCTGGCCACAGCCCGGTTCATGGACAGGAAGTGTTTTCCTGCCAGCTAGGTTTTAGGTAGCTTTCAGTTCATGACATAAGCATCACTTGCAGGCCTATTGTGATGCTTTTGAAAAACACTGGCCCTTACAGTTCTCCATGGCTTGACCTGGGTTCAGCCATGTGGAGTTTGATATCATTGTCTTTCAGGAAGGGGACATTACTTTTGTGATCACCAGGACACAGTCACATGCTTCCTTTGTTTTCAGTCCACATAGCTGAGTGCACAGATACACTGTCTGTTTTTTGAGACAGGGTTTTTGTGTAGCTTTGGAACCTGTCCTGGCACTAGCTCTGTAGACCAGGCTGACCTCAAATTCAGAAAGATCCGCCTGCCTCTGCCTCACGAGTGCTGGGATTAAAGGCACGCGCCACCACTGCCCCGCACACTGTTGTTTCTTTACTCGTTTTTCTTTGGCTCCACCTTTTTCTAAAGCTGCCTGAAGGACTCTGGATGATCAGGCCCCACATCTGCAGCTCCATGTCTGCAGGCTTCACATCCGCAGGCTCTGGAGGGCACAAAGCCTCATGAAGCCCTGCAGTGCTCATTTTTGGGCGGCGCTCCACATCCGCAGCTCCATGTCCGTAGGCCCCACATCTGCAGCTCCACGTCCGCAGCTCCATGTACGCAGGCCCCACATCTGCAGCTCTCTGTCCCTAGTCATGGGAGGCGGGGCATCTGTGAGAGTCCCCACTCTGGGTCACACTGTCTATCGTTCATGCCACTTGATGCTGAAGTGGCATCGAGACCTGACTGGCCACGGCCCTGCTCTTGGCTTCCAGCTCACATAGTTGCTTCTGAACCTTTCTGGGCTGTGGATAGAAATTGCTTTCTCAGGGACCAGGAAGATGAGTTAGGAGTTAGAGGCTCTTGTTGCCAAGCCTAATGATTTTAGCCCTCAAGAACCATGCGGTGGGAGGAGAGAACAGACACCTGCAACTAGTGCACATGTATGTGCGTACATGCACACACACACACACACACACACACACACGGAAGTCAAGAAGTGAGCATCTCTGAGCACACCTACAGTGACACTAGCCTCTTCCAGTTGTCACCTCAGGAGTGCAGCCCTGAAGGATCAAGCCTTGACACCTCCCAGGCCTTTCAGGATGACATGAGGCAGACCTCTGGTTTTCACTAGCCTCCACATCAGTGTCTCATGGGATCGCAGCCTCACGCCCAACTCCTACATTCTCCACCACGAGTTACAAGGTGCCTGGGTCCCCACTCAACAGTCATCAGAGAGGTTCAGACTCCATCACCACCCAGAAACCCTACGTACACAGCTGACTGCAACCTGGGGTCCCCGAGCCTCCCACCTCAGCACTGTTCCAGATGGATTTCCTGCACTCCATCCGTCTGTCTTCTCACGCTGCTGTGGGACCTTTCACAGACACACACCTGGAGTGGAAGTCACTGGCCTGCAGGGGCTGCCTACATCCTGGCCCAGGAAATAGCCTGGGACAAAGACACGGCTCACTCACTAAGGTGCCAACATAGGCCGTTGGAGTCCAGGGTGCTACATATTCACCAAGACAGCACCAAACTTACAAACCAAGTTCTAGAGATCAGTCA